GCTTATCATCATCATCCCTAACAAAAGTGTGGAGTTGTGAAATTCTGCAAGTCTGAAGTGGCTTTTTATTGCACTTTTTTTTCAAGTTGTAAATAAAACAGATTGTTTAATCTGTAATACTGCTTAGAAGTGGCTGAGGTGGCTCACATCAGGCATAATTTAATCTGGCTTTAATGCAGCATTACTGAATTTGTGAGATTTTTGCATTAAGCAGCCTTAACTCTGCTGTGTAAAGATGCCTTAAATTTAGGTAGTTGGAAATTCCTACTAAATGCAACGCAGCATATGACAAAAAGGCATTTATGCCACCTCTGAGCAGCATCAAAGTATACAGTTGCAGTTCGCCGAGTAAATGCATTTATGCCACTTCTGAAGTGGTATTTAAGTGTCTTTACACAAACTGTTTAATACTGCTTAGAAGTGCTTCTGTGCCACCTTTGCAGTGTACATTTAGCATAGATATTAAAGCTCAGTGCGTGCATCGTTCAGCATCACTTGACGTGCTGTCTTTACACAGCAGTGTTAAGGCTGCTCTAAGCCTGCTTAAAATTTAAAGACGCAATGCTGCATAAATGCCAGACTAAATCATGCCTGTTTTGAGCCACCTTAGCCCCTAGTATTACAGAATAGTGTTGTAATTGCTGTGCAAAAGCATTTATGCCACCTCTGAGCAGCATTGTGTAAAGACACCTAAATGCCACGTCAGAGGCACTTCTGTGCCACATTTGCAGTGTAAATTTGACGAGAGTATTAAAGTTCAGTGCGTGAATCATCCTGCAGCTTTTGACATGCTCTTTACACAGCTGACATAAGCCTGCTTAAAATGTAGTGTAAAGATGCAATGCTGCATAAAAGCCAGACTAAATTATGCCTGTAGTTGCAATTGTTGTGTAAATGCATTTATGCTGCTTCTGAGCAGCATTAAACAGTCTGCGTAAAGAGACTTAAATGCCACTTCAGAGGCGCTTCTGTGCCACTTTTGCAGTTTAAATTTGAGTAGAACAAACCATCAAAACTTTGAATATTTGAAAATTTCCATTCATTTCAATATGCGTTTGATTAAAGAATAATGGGTAATGTTGATGTTTCTGTGCCGGATAGGTCTTTGTTTGTGGGTTGGTTTTTGCATCAAGGTCTTTTACATTTTGACCGATAAAGAGACGATCAGATGCGCACAGCACTAAAATCTACAGCTCGACACGAGTCCCATCCGCTCCATTGCACTTATTTTTCCGAGGAGAGGAGGAACTCGTGCCTGAAAGAGGATGAAGAGGAAGAAGAGAGAGTGGCGTTATCAAAATATCCAAAGCATGGCGTCAAGCGCAGACCGTACTCGAGAAAAAGAAATCTTTGGTATCTTTGGTTTCATCAACACGATTAAAATTACAAATGGAAAATTCAGTGAGGTAGCCTCTGTGGTTCTCACTATAGAGATAGAAAGACTTTTATACACACACACACACACACAAGTCAGTCTTGGAAGCAGCTTTTTCTAGTTTTTAAGGGATTCCTCTACGTCCTTCTACGAGTGAAGCAATGAATAAACGGCCTCTCAGCATCCGTGGGATTTATCTTTGGTGAGTCCTGCGTTGAGCTCCGTTAACGTGTGGCCACGTATCACACACACACACACACAAGTCAGTCTTGGAAGCAGCTTTTTCTAGTTTTTAAGGGATTCCTCTACGTCCTTCTACGAGTGAAGCAATGAATAAACGGCCTCTCAGCATCCGTGGGATTTATCTTTGGTGAGTCCTGCGTTGAGCTCCGTTAACGTGTGGCCACGTATACGATCTGGCTGAAATTCGCTGCTCGTCCTTCAACAGAACGGTTAAATAGATCGCAAATGGCCCTTCAGAAAGATTGTTTTCATTCGAAAGAAAAGGACAAACAAAACCTAAACGATTTCCATAAAGTCTCGACAGACACACATGCAAATTACAACTAAACCCCGATCGCTAACTCATTTCCAGAATCATCTTTCTAAGAAAAATTAAATATACCCTTTGCGTTGCTTTTTAAAGTAAAGCTAACTAATAAATTAAGAGTAGCACTGCATCTTTGATGCACTAGTAGTCTTAAATAGTCAATTACATCTAATTAAATAACATTAAATAATTCAGAAAAAAACAATAACCTATGCATACTAGTCGTATACGTCTGATGGTGTCCAACATGCAAACGAAGTAAATGTAAACTTTGGCAAGCTAATCAGGATAAAAGGAGAGATTTTTTGGCAATTTAAATTAAGTTCAATCATAACAAATATAAATTACATAAATAAATCACATATTGCAAAACCTGGGTAAGACATTGTACAGATGCATTGCAAAATATAAGTACTAAGACAAGCAAAGGAAAGCTCTTTGGCCCGTGTTGCTAAAAACCTGACCGTCGTGAAGAGCCGATGAAGCTCCAACTGAGAATCTTTGGACTAGAAGCTTTTAAAGAGAGAAACCTAAAGGATAAAGCTATTCGACCTACAGTCTGCAATTTCCTCTCTAGCATTTTTGGCAGATTATTGACTTTTTAGATGGAACATAGTATATGATGGAAGCGGCTGCAGCAGCTCTCTCTCAAACACAGGACTCGCGATTCAGCGCTTGGAAGCAAGCGTGCATATGTTGGGAAATGATGGATGGATGATGTTTGCATTGGTGGAACTGAACTGTCGGTGGACTACGATGGGATATGAGCACGAAACTACAAGATGAGGAGTCGTTCGGCTTGGGAAAATGGGAAAAGGTGAGGCTGCATGTGCTTAAAGGTGTTTATCTTTGGTATGCCCATCAGGCTGAGTTACACCTTTAGTTTTAGCTGCAGAACGGATGAAAAAACCAAACGCTGAACCCTAGACGTCCCGTGTTTGGAGAGAAGCACCGCTGCGAGCCCGAACTGAAGGGAACAGCGGCGGGAGTAACTCTGAATCTTTGGTATTGTAGCTGATGAGGTTTTTGTTGTTCTTTCCATTTTGGTTGAAAAAGCTGCATAGGCACACATTAAAGACAATCTTCGACTTGTGTTTTTTGAGAGAGGCTTCATTCTCCGTTGCCATGGGAACAGCTCCGTCGCATTTAAAAACCCTTCCGATCCATTCTGCTTCCAATGTCTCCACCGAGCCGAATGCAACAAAGATGACGGCTCGGCGTTCCCGCTTTGTCGTCATCATTCTTTTTTTGGGGGGGGATATTTTTCCTTTGACCAGTTTTCGTTTGCAGAACAGTTAGGTGCAGAAAAAGTTTCTTTGGTGTCGATTTGTCAATAAGTACAAAAAGTCTTCAGTGTCCGTTTTGAGTGATCCAAGCGTAACCTGGGAGAGAACTGCTTACCGGCTCCGTTTGTCCATCGGTTCAATAATAAATGAGGACGAGGGAATTTGAGATGTGTGTATGAAAGAGCTAGTATGTGGATTTGGTTTTTCCATTGGAAAGTGAGCTAAAACTATGAGGGAAGGAGTCATGCACACTTTGGGAAAGCTAAACTGGTAGGCATTGCTGTGGAGATTGTCCTCTTAAACTCTTGTAAAGGCCCTGATCACCAATGCCAGTTCACTTGTGTTTGCTTGTTCATAGCATAATACAATTACAGTCATACAGCGATGCATATGTGTGTGTGTGTGTTTTTTGCAGTGTAATTTCATTGAGTGTGTTGAGCTCGTGAGATGCATGTTCTTCGGTCGTATCATCCTGAGTTGTTTTTTAACCATCGAAGAACAATCGGTGTGGTCCAGCCCCTGTTCTATTGGAAATGTAATGTGCTTCAGGATTGTGCTCACAAACCCGGCCGGCCAGTATCGGTGTGAGAGATCTGCGGTCGGTGTGTCCTTCACGTGTGTTGTGCTTTGTGCTTCTGATGGGGGTTTGTACCGTGTGGAGCTGAAACGCTTCATCGGTGTGTTAGAAAACCCTGCGACCCAATGCCAACTTAAACCTGTGCGGTTATTTAGGTTGTCGTTCGTGTGTTATGGGTGAATCTCACAAAGAAGAACATGTGTGATTTTTTTCTTTAACCAAAAAGCATTACCATAATGCAAACAAAAAATAATTCTCATTACTGTAATAAAAATGGCTGTATTACAGTAACAACAATAGGAGCAATAACTGACAATGGGATTTTTTGGGAGTTATTATTATTATTTAAAAAGCCTGTATGCATCATGCCAATTACACTGCAAAAATTAATTTTCTTCCTTGTTTGTTTTCCAGAAATATCTAAAAATTGTTAAATGAGGATACATTTGAAAAGCAAAATTAATTAAGGTATTAAGTCTTGTTTTTTTGTGTGAAGAATTTATCAAATTAAGCCATTTTTGCGTAAAATAATAAATAATAATTATATATTAATATAATATATTTGTATATTTTATCATTACGTTAGAAATAATTTTTTCCCTTTGAATTAAGTTTATTTTTCTGACCTTGTTGGCAGATTTTTTTTTCTTGTTTTAAGCAAAACTCACTTCATTTTGATAGATTTTTCAGAAAATATCTTAATATTATTTTTGTTTCTCAAGTAAATGTATATTATTTGCACTCAAAAACAATACTCTATTAGCAGTGTAAAATATTGCAATAAATGTGACCTGGACGTGTTTTTGTGAGATTCATTCTTAGAACTTAAAGTATCTCCACACACACACACACAAGCACGCATGCACGCACGCACGCACACACACACACACACACACACACACACACACACACACACACACGCACGCACGCACGCGCACACACACACACACACACACACACACACACACACACACACACACACACACACACTTCAGGAAATGAAAATCAAAGCTAATTTCAAGTGAATGTAGATGTGAAATGCAAACCCTTTGGTTTTCTCTTCAGTTCAAAGCCAAATGTAAAGTTAACCATGTTTTTGATTGGCTTTGATCCTTCATTGGTGTCAATGCTTTGGACTGGAGCGGAGAATGCAGCGTTTTTCCTGACGTTTGGCTGTTTGGATGAACGGATCGGTGTCTTTTTGACTCTGACTCGAGCCGGTAAGCAGCTTCTCTCGTCTCGTCGCCCTTCGGAATGATTTTCTCCTCTTCTCCTCTCCGGGATCATGCTTTGGTACAAGTGCTGGAGGTGGATGACGTGTTGCCCGCACTCACCTCGTCCAGCCATTTGTCCAGGCTGCGTCTGCGGGCGTTCATGAAGAAGTTGCTGACAGTGTTCAGTTCCAGACCCAGCTGCTGCGAGATGGTCAGCTGAATCTCTCTGGACGGGCGCTTGTTCTCCTTAAAGATGGCCAGAAGTGTTCGCCGCTGCAGGTCTGTGAAAACCAGCCGCGATTTCTTTGGTGTATTGCTCCTATTGTCTTTGCTTGGGTCCAGCTCTTTTCTTTTGCACGCTTCGGGGGTTTCGTTTGTTAGAAAGGAGACACAAAAGAAAGAGAAGAAACACGTTAGAATCATTCACACGTTTATTCATGCACTTACATTTAATGCAGGGTTCGAACCTACACCCTTTGGATTATCAGCCCTGGGCTTTATTGCACCACCTACAATTAGATTACAGTTACATAAAAGAGAAAATAACAACGAAGTATTTATTAACATTTTTAAAATATTTTTATTTAGCTTTAATTTGCTTTATATCAATTTTAGTTTTAGTAACTTGTGCTTGTAATTTTTTTATATGCTTTTTATTTTATTATTATTTATTTTTTTATGTCGGTTTTAGTTTTAGTAATTTCGCTATGTGCGTATGTCATTTTTATTAGTTAATTTTTTAATATTTGGATTTAGCTTTAATTTGTTTTTATTTCAATATTAGTAATTTTATCTGCTTTTGTCATTTTATTATTATTTTTAAATATTTCTAATTAGCTTTAATTTACTTTTAATTAAGTTTTTAGTAATTTTATGTGCTTTTAATTTTTATTCATTTTTAAATTTATTTTAGCTTTAATTTTTATTTATTATTTTTATTAAATTTTTATTTTTTAGTAATTTCATTATGTGCTTATGTCATTTTTATTAGATTTTGTTTTTATTTCTATTTAGGTGTGTGAGTGAGTGAGTGAGTGTGTATGTGTGTGTGAGAGAGTGTGTGTGTGTGTGTGTGAGTGAGTGATTGATTGAGTGAGTGAGTGAGTGAGTGTGTGTGTGTGTGTGTGTGAGTGAGTGAGTGTGTGTGTGTGAGTGAGTG